TTCACAATTAAGCAGTTGCAATTTCATAAACATTTGATGGTAATTGTCGATGTAAGCAGTCCCTCTTGAGAGATTTCTCGGAGGTATAAATGAATAAATAACGAAGCTTTCATGAAATACTCTTATTTCAGTTTAAATTCTAGAGCAGGCCTAGAGGCTTTTCGATCTAGCAATGTATTTACATGTCGAAGTTGCATGCTAAATTCTTCACTTTTCGCGAGAATCGAGTACGCTTTTTTAATTTGACTCATCAATGATTCATAACAGTTAATTATTATAGTTTGTTGTATATATTTAGATGATTGGGTTCAGCACACGTTTTTTTTCGATACTGCATAAATTAGGATGGAAAGGGGTATTCATTCAAACTTGACGCAAATTATAGGCATATTTTGAGTCGTTTATGGCATCATTTTTGGTTCAATGTTATTCTGAAGGGCATTGCCTTTCTTGATATCAGTAAAAATTATTTAGCTCTGAAATTTTTTGGGGAGACAAAAGGATCGCCTCTTATTGAATTTTTCATCTTTCGTTAACAAGGGAAGAAATTTATTTTGCCTGTATCTGCGCGGTGGGGTATAGAAACCAATCCATCAAGATTCTTTTTATTGATAATGCAAACATCCTTGGGTGTGGAAACAATATTCTGTTGAAAAGCTGTTTAGATATCGTCAAAGAGAAGGAAAACGTATCAGACTTAGTTACAAATAGTAGGGGCAGACAGTTGAAGTAATAATTCAAGGTTAGTTGGATGTGGTTTTTTGCACTGAAATTTCTAGATGCTTCGTAAGTGTTAGGAATATTTCGGTTAGATATCGGGGTAATCGAAATGGGTTATTTTACAATTCAGGAGAAAGAAGAAAGAAACTATTTTAACACTGGTGATTTTCAAATAATCAAAACCTGTTTATGGCGCCAACGACCTCATTGAAAGTAAAAAGAAATTCATTGGCAGCGCTCTTACCTAAATTGTAATGCAGAGGCATTCGAAGTAGTTTACGTATTATAATAAAAATATAAATTTCGTAGATATTTACCGTAAATGTCTTTAAATGGAATAAAGTTAAACAGTGCATTGCGGAAAAATAGAGACGTGCATTTGTTCTTGCATTTAGTAAAGGCATTTAACAATCAGAGAGTAATCTTTCCTGTAAGAAAAGTTTGGAAAAACAGCGGAGTTCCACTGTGCAGTATTTCCAAGGAAGCATACATACCCAGTCTTCCACAAGAAAGTTCATTAAAATCCCCAAAAGCAGTTTAGTTTTTCCAAAGAAAAACAATAGTATACAGAAAATTAATCATCGTGTATCGAATCCGGATTGCACGGTTAGATAACCCCTACTCTGGGAACTCATAAAAAGGTGTTCTGAATTTAGTACAATGCTTCGTGTATGCTCTAAAAAACTCACAAATATTCGGTGTCTCCCACTTAGAAGTTTTAGGTCAGAAATGGTTGGCGCCCAGTTATAATGCCGACACATGGCAGTTTACTGATAATTTCATAAACGCATTTATTGATCCCAAAAGACAAATTTTTCATAGTACTGACTTGTAATCAAAAATCACTTGAGTCATCAGAATGTCCATAGCAGGGGTATTGTGCACTATCAAGGCAACTGAGATGATTGACGATTATTGGAAAGATTGCGAGTTTTCAGCGATATTTGCTCGTTATATCAATTAGGAAGAATTCCACCGCAGCTTTAGCTATGTGAAACAAAGCATTGTCTAGAGTCCTTATCAATTCCTGAAACTGATTTTCTTAATCATTGCAGCATTCAAAAATTCAAGGCAGATGTTTCCAGCACTGTATTTCTTTTATTTTTCATCACTGATCCCTCTCCTCATGGCTGTTGGTCCCCAGTGTAACACAGCTGAGCAATCTGTGAGTGGAAAGGCCCTCAAGGGTCACACCTATAAAACAAAAAGGGTGCAAGACCCGTACGAATGTCTGGTGTTTTGTAACAACGAAGTAGCATGTCAGAGCTACAATTATGTCATAACTGGTAAAATATGCGAGCTGAATGACAGAACTAATGAAGAGAAACCTGATGATTTTGTCCACGATGGGACTAGGTTTTACGTGAGAAAGTGGAAAAACAGAGGTAGGCACATATCAGTACTTGAACCAATTCGCGCACGCAGTTATTTTAAATGCCGAAGAAGGTACCGCAGCGTCACGCAAAGGGCCATGCAAATGGCAATGAGTGTGTTATGCTGTATATTTGAGGCAATACATCACGGAATAGCTCTAGGTCCCTAAAAGGTGAGGGTGATAGATGTTCAATAGCTCTAAGTCCTAAAAGGTGAAGGTGACTGATGTACAATAACTATAGGTATCTTCAGGTTACGTCACACAATAGATATGTCTTAATTGCTGAAAGGGGTTCATCACCAAAAAAAAGCTGTAAATCTGTACAGCATAAAGGGGTTTGTCACTAAAGAGCTATCAATTTCTTCCTTTAAATATGTTGTCAGTGATCTTTACCCAGTTGACATATATCGTCAAAACTTTGAGATGATATTCCGTAAATTGATATCATTTTCTTTCTTATCGTCGCCGTGACTTGAAATTATACTGATATCGAGAGGATAAATCCATTTGTTATGACTCCTGGGAGAGAAAGTCGCGAGCTTTTATAGGCAAGATTTATAGACTTCAGCTATGTTTCCATCTGAGATTCGACTCGTCAAAACTTCGCATTTTTTGTATCTCTCAGCAGTTTGTGCCCCCGTAGGAGTAGAAGATCCACATATAATACCTGACGCCCACATTACCGCAAGTTCTTATTTTCTGAGTTATTATGCGCACATGGGACGGCTGAATGGAGTAAAAGGTTGGTGTCAGAAAACTACTGCAATCACCGATGACTACATACAAGTTGATATGGGAGCGTTGCACACTGTCTGCGCGATCGCAACGCAAGGGAAGAAAAATGGATCATTCGTCAAAAGCTACAAGCTGTCCTTCTCTTCTGATGAAAGCAGCTGGAGTGTATATCAGGAACAAAACATTGACAAGGTTTGAAATAATCCTACTTTAATCTTTTCTTGCCTGTTTTATTTATTAATTTTTTTTAAATAGGTGTGCTAATCGTCCTAATAGGATGAATTTACGACAGTCACATGTCAGCTTTTGGGGTTTAAATCGCGAGAAAAAAAGGCTCTTTGATGTTATCGAAGATGATTATAAAATACTTAATATCCTACAGTATTGGACGAGACACGTGTAAGTCATTTCATGGTAATAATACTCAGTGTTATACATCTCAGTTAGTATGTTGCGCTTTGACCAGTTAGTTAAGAGGGCCGTATTCAATAGTGCGGCCTACTAAATTTAAAAGTTGTTTGAATTAAAATCTTCCCCTCTATTTGAACTTGAAATATAATAAATTGTCTTTTCATCCTTGCTTCGCGCTTGGGTGGGTCATAAGACCGTGCGAAAAAACAAAGTTCCGTTAGTTACGATACAGACCAATAAAAGGAGGTAACGGAGATTTTTTTTTTTGCATCGCTGGATTCAAATGGAGGGTGGGAGATATCAATTCCAACAAACTTTTGAATTTGGCGGGAAAGTTAGTGCAATTGGGTGCGCTGTTTTGACCAATGATAGCACACGTATTAACTCAACGATATAATGAAGGGTATTCATTCTAGCATTTATGCGGCACACAATCTGAAAAAAAAGGGAAGTAAAACTGATCTAAAGGCGTGCATCTTCTCCACCGACGGGAAACCACTTTTCCAGATATCTCAAACTGGAAACATTACTCAGCAACTCAACGAAAAGTTATACCAATGAAATCGTCACCGACTGACTCCGTAATGAATCCGCTCTCACTTTCCGTGGCTTCATGAGGTGTAATTTAAGGGAGTCGCTGTAGAGGGGGAGGGGAGGGTGATTCTGGGTGATGTATGACTAACTTCCTTCAAGATAAAAAATTATGATTAATTAGGATGATAAGACAAATCTGCCAAATGTTTTGTGTAGGCCATTACACGTGACATGTGATGTCTGAATTTTAATTTTGTGCTTGCAGATTTTCCAAGCGAATTCAGACTTGAACACCGTGGTACAGCATACACTGAATAACCCAGTCCACGCAAGGTTCGTTCGTTTTTATCCCGTCACCTTTGATAATTTCCCTTGTATGAGGGTTGAGGTGTTTGCGCAGTGAATACAGAATCATCTCGAGTGATTTTTTTTTTCTGGAATAAAATTACCGTTTCCACGAGCTATGCAATACATTTGTTTCATTTTCTTTGGTTCATTAGCGAGTAGTTAAGTCTTGGGTGCTTATAAGATGAGTAAAGTCTTGTCTTTTAAGTACTAAGATTATTCCTTGTTTTGAAAACTGTTTAAAAAGATCATAAAAGGATAGATAGTTAACGTCGACGTATGATTCTTTAATATATTAGATGCACCAGGACCATCCAAAAAAAGTGAAAATTTTGTGCTACAGTCGAACCTCGGTTATACGGACTCGTTAAGGCTGGCCTAAATACTCTGAATAATCGTGAGGCAGATGATCGAAAATACGAATATTCATGACAAATATAAAACTAAGTAGGTATCATGTATTCAATACATATTAAACAAGAATAAAAGTACATTCCAAATCATTTAGTATCATTGTTTAAATTTGCCAAAAGCATATACAAGAATAATGATATAAAATGCTGAAATGAATCAAGTTTTTTCTAGCTACTACAGCATGTGCACGTCGCTAATTCTAACATTCCGCTGGGGCTTAGTTATTTCATTGATAAGACGTGTGATTTAATACATCGCGAGCTCCGCCTTTTTGGTTTGGCTTTAACTACATCTCTCGTCAATATGCCCAAAGAATAGTAACAAAACACGTCTCCAAAGCTCAGACCGAGAATCGCTGTTAAAACAGCTCCAATTATATTGGGTTTTATGAAGGCTATTTACAGATTTTTATCAACACTCCTACTTTACCTTCTTTCCTAATCATATCCCATTAATAGTCTTGCAACTAAGATTTTATCTCGTAGAATACCTCCAGATTAGTCGGGGTAAATAATTCACTCCCTGAGAAGAATACGCACTTGGTGAACGAAATGTAACCAGTAGGGACGCCGTAAGTAGAGCCGCATGTGGTGAAGGAATTTTGAATGTTGCCAGCGTTGTTTCGTAATTGGATGTCATGTCGCCCTTGATAACCCCCAAATGTTGGTCCATAACTACTGCAGCGGTAGATTGCATACCCTTGATACCGGTATTGAGCTAGTTTAACAGGTTTATAACCATGCACGTTGTAAAGCGAGAAAATGAAGGCTTTGGCAGCCGATGTGTACCCACAAGAACCTGCAGCCAGAGAAATTTGTTAGAGGAAAGCTTAGTGAAGTGAGATGGTAGACAATGTCTCCTGAGGGTCTTTACAGTTTACTCATAGAGCGAGAGTCTTCCTCCCCAACCCCCTCCGTCTTTGCCAGGGGTGTTAACCTTGGTCATAACATCTTTCTGAACAGTAGATAACTAACAACCTAGTTTGTTTTTATCTTGAAATGGACCAGCGTTCATAACCGTGGTTTTTTTCGTCATGACTTCGAGATTAATTTTTCAAAGATTGTTTGTTGTACAACTCTTTTACTTTAAACTGTGTATAATTTTCCTCTGTTTGCAGCAGCCCATTAAGGAGTGCTTTGGGTCTTTAAAGATTTTCAATCTTAGTTCTTGTAGTTGCTTCAATCGAATTGGGAAATCTCTTCGCCATAAGATTTTGTAACGGAGAGACAATTACTTTAGCTTCCACCAAAGCTGCCGAATGCTTCAAATTTTTAATTTTCTAAACTCTACTTTTCCTTGTCAGGCCTCGTCTTGACCTTTTGTTTTCGGACTCCATCCCCTGCCATCCGCCATTTTCAGCTTTTTAAAGGATTTAGGTTGATTAAATGAGTTTGCTTTTTAAAAAAAAAAACATTTCTGATTCCATCAATATTCGACACTACGTGACTATGCCGGCCGTCCCACTAGTGCTATAAACTGAGGAAAACTACATACCTCTCACAACACCTATTTCGTTATTGGCAGCAAACAGTAAGCCGTTCGTAAACATTTTTTTTTACGCGTGTTGCAAAATACTTGAAGGATAATAAAAACAAAAGCATCTATTTTGGCGCGAAAATATGCACGGATATCTGTCCATGGACACTATCTGTTTTTTTTCACAGTGGAGAGGGACAGGGAGGCGGGAACCCAGGAGAACAAGGGTTGTGAGAGGACGGGAAGCAGGAGAACAAGGGGCGGGAAGCGGGGGATCTATATGAGGGTGGGAGGCGAGAGCAGAAATAAAGAAGGCAATAGTTTGTTGTTTATTACTGGGCATCATTCAGTTAAAAACACTTATCTAGCAAAGTTTTAAAATTCCCATTTAACATCCACCAATCAACATGATCTCGAGACCGAAATTACGATTATCGTTATTTCTAAATTGGCACCAAATTTATGGATATAGTAATTTCGTGGCACTCTTTACCAATGCTCTTTCCACGTGTTAAATAAAGAGAAGGACTCGGTTCCACTGTCTTACAACATTCAAGATGGCGGAGGAAAGGGGTAAATGTGCGTTCAGTTGTGATCAGCATGATCTCGACACCAAGATAACGATTACCGTTATTTCTAAATTGGCCCTGAAATAACGAATATCATAATTTCAGTGCATGTCTGAGACCTTCGGGCTCGAAGCTTGGGAACTAGTATTCAGGGAAAGATAAAATGGCGGCTTACGGCGGCGAAGGAAATCTCAGTAGTTTAATATTTAGCGTGAAAAGGCTTGGGTGTTGTGATCTGGTTCTCAAGTAAAAAAAAATCACGGTCTGCAATGGCCCTACCACCTTTTGAACAACAAGAAAACATTGAAACGGTGGTAAAAAGCAGCAAGTTTCGAAGTCTAAACGAAAGATGGGTAAGCTGAGTTTCAGTCAAATATCATGACATTTGGGATGTAATTTCGATACCGAATAAATAGTTCTACATGGTTACACACGCATAGGATTCTGTTGTGTTCACGTGAAGGCCATTTCAGCCATTCCTGCCACTTGTAAGTGGTAGGAAATAAAAGATATGTATAGTTGTTTCGTATTGAAGCCCTGTGAAATCACAAATTTGATTTATTTCTTCTTTGTTTTAAGTGGTCATTATCCATTACTTTTGGAAGTCGATGCTGATGAGAAAGAAAAAATGTTTATGATTATTTCTTCTCTCGAACATTTTATTATTTAGGTACCAAATAATCTTGATACTGAAGATCATTGCATCCATTATGAAAAAATTACCCTTGATTGCTTTGTCAACTGGAATGTATAATGTAATATACCTTGTGATTTGTGGGATTTTCACAAGTAAACTAGAAATACTTGAAGAAGTTAATGATGTACTTAATGCAGAGCATTTGGTACAAAGTCTGCTTTGCTGTAATCTACCTGAAGGTGCTTTTTATATGCTAGTAAGACTTGCACAGCCCAGTCAAAATGTTTTTGAGTAGTAGAAAAGCTGGCCAAACCTCTTCCTGAAAAGCAGTCTGAAAAATGTGAAGTTAGCGGAAGGTACTTCATTGTAGGCGGCCAAATTGTAAGCTGCCAGCCCATTTTGAGTGAGCAGTAAAACTCAAGATTGGCTATTTTAGCTAATTTTATTGAGAACCAAATTCCCAGCAACGGGCACAATTTTACTGGGCTATTTGTTATTTAACTACTTAGTAATATTCTTATTAAAATTTACTGCATTCCTTTCTAATAATTTGCTGCTGATTGTATGCTGTATATAGCTTATGATTTGTGTGATTTTCACAAGTAAATTAGAAATACCTGAAGATGGTAATGATGTACTAGATAATGTACTTGATGCAAAGCTATTTTGGTGCAAAGTGTGTGCCTTGTCTGTAGGTGATTTTGCATGCTAATAAGACTTGTAATTCAAATAATACACATCAGCTGGAGTGGGAATATTAAAAGAAAAATAATAATATTTAGCTATACCAAGTTCTGGTTTTATGTCCAAAGTGTGTGCCTTGTCCGTAGGTGATTTTGCATGCTAATAAGACTTGTAATTCAAATAATACACATCAGCTGGAGTGGGAATATTAAAAGAAAAATAATAATATTTAGCTATACCAAGTTCTGGTTTTATGTCCAAATTAAGCACTTAGTTGAAGATCACTGCACTGCTCAGGTCCAGAAGGCTGAAAGAGTACTGTCTGCTGTTAGTTTGATTTTTGTCATTTCTATTGATTTATTTTATTTATCAATGTTTCTTTGAATTGTAATTCATTGATCTCTTTCAATAGTGCAGGTTCGCTCATGTAACCTAATCTCCCACTTATGTATGTATGTATGGATGAGCTCAGTCAAAATGTTTTTGAGTGGAAGGCAAGCTGGTGATAGTAATAGGCAGCAGAGGCTGAACCTTGTCTTGAATGGAAGTGTGAAAAGTGTGAAGTTAGCGGCAGCTATATTGTGGCAGGCAGCCAAATTGTCAGCTGTGGCACATTTTGACTGGGCTGATTGTGTGTAGTATATATGTGCACTTCTTTTAGGGTGTTAAACAGGTTAAAGTACCAAGAAATCCTCTGTGATAACTTGATAATTCAAGATGTAAAAATTTTAAATAATAAGGTAAAGCTTGATCATTCTTAAGAGTTTCCATTTGCTCTGGAAATTTGGGGGAGGGTCAGGGGAGCATTATTTATACATAAATAATGTACATAAAAAGTAAAAAAAAAGGACCAAGGTAAAATCCCAATTTGTTTTAAGAGTTAATTTTATCAAGAGAAAACCCTGGATATAGCTTGGGATTTGTGTGATTTTCAAAAATTGTTAGGAACCTTGTTAATTTTCAGCTTCAAGAACACAAGTACATAATCTTTAGTGCAGCCCTCTTTTCTCCCCGCCATTATTCTAATTTTTTTATCAAGTTTCCTTTTTCTTGTGTTCAATTAATTCATTGTCTTTACAGGTGAAATTTTAATATCTGCTAGCACAATTATCTCTGCTAAGAGTGTCTACCATCACTCTTGCCGGTCTCAAGCCCAAAACGCTGCAAACTAGCTGAAACTACATGTATTTCGTAAAATTGCAATGAAATCTATCTAAAAACACCAAAATCCGGCAGAACGCGCGAGTTTTTGCCAAATTTTACGCAAAAGTTGACAAAAGCGCTCAATTCGACCTGAAAAACACTTTTTTTTTTTTTTTTTGTGCAAAAATCAGCCTATTTTACATTCAAAAGCACGATGTCTTTAACAAAATAGGGATACAATCCATGTGAAAACACTTATTCCAGCTAAAACGCAGTCTTCTCAGTAAAATTTGGGCTGATTTTACCCACTTTTTGTGTAAATAGCTGCCAAAACCCTCTAAACTAGCTGGAACTACATGTTTTTCACAAGATCGCCATAAAATCTTGAAACGTTGCTTTAGGGACCTTTATGCCTCCAAAACGAGTTTTTACTTTAAAAAAAATGGAATTAGCAAAGAAGTGAAAGGGGAAAAAGCTGTGAGAAAGGAGAAGTTTAGTGTTGCTGTGTGATATGCCGCCCAGATATATCAATTTATTAATTTAACGCCTTTAGCCGTGGGCAGAAGTTTTTCTCTAGACTAAGAGGACCCTCCCTATGTTGACGAACCTCAATAACTCGTTGATTTTACTGTTTTTACACAGATTTGATTTTAACCATATTCGCCAAAATAACTGCCAAAACACGGCAAACCAGTATCTCGGCCAAGAGCGATATTGGCCATTTCACACATCCTTATTAGATATGAATTTTATTAAAGATTGTCATTCTAGCATATGTTGGCTAGTTACCACAGGTTTCTTGATTTTCATGGGAAAGTGGCATTGGTTGGTACCATGACCAATCTCCTCGACTTTCCCATGATTTTCATAGGATGTTAGCGACCCATACTTCGAACCTCAGTTGTTTTTTTTTTTTTACATTGGCGCGAGTTCCACAACTTTCTTCTGGTTTGGCATTGACTCAGAGTTGGGCTTATTTTTATGGCTAATCCATCGGCGACTTTCTCATGATTTTCTTGGGTTCTCAACAGTGACACGCACTTTGGAACCATAATTTTATAAATATGTCAACACTGGCAAATACTGCTAAAATCTACACTCTACTAAACTCCATGTACCACAATATCCACACAACTGCGTGTGCCTACTTGAAAATCCTAACCCTAACCCTAAAACTATCCAGTTAGCCTAGTATTGTATTGCTGGTTTGAGTGACTAAACTGGCTCAAATGATCCAGCTGCTTAAAAATCTAAGCACAGAGTAAGTTTAAAAGATTCAATTTTGTAAG